TTTTTCAAGACACATGTTTTTTTTTTGCGTGCCGGTACACGGTGCGATGTAGCTCTATCGGTAGACACAGGAGGGTTGCTACCTTTTTCTGCGGGATTATTCGACACTTCCTTTTCCATTGCATTCAAACTATCAACCAACTTAGTTTTCGAAACGTCCGGTACCTTTTGCATCCATTGTATCAACCGCACATCGCTGTCCTCGCAGAAATATTCAACACTCTACTCCCCCCAACCCCTCCCCTCGCGTTGATTTTTTCCCCCTCCCCTCAAGCAATGAGAAGGAACGCTTCACGCTCGTTCTAGCTGTTACGGCGGACGGCAAAAAAGTTTCGCCGCGCATCATCTTCGAGGGCACGCCGTTCATCCCCCCGACCGTGAGCGGCAAGGGCAAGAGCACCCGGCCGCGGAAGAACCCCGTCGCGTGGGAGATGCATCCTGCGAACCGCGCCAAGCACGGCCACCCTGCCAACGGCATGTCCTTCGGCGTGCAGGAGAAGAGCTGGAGTGACCAGCGGGAGTGCAACGGGTGGATCTCGGGCAGCTGGAAGCTCCGTCCCAACAACGGCAGCATCGTCCAGCAGCGCCCGCGCATCCTGGTGCTTGACGACTTCAAGTGCCACAATGACGAGGGTTTCATCGCCGCCCTCAAGAGAGACGCTAACACCATCGTCATCTTCATCCCAGGCGGGTTGACGCCCTTGCTCCAACCGCTCGACCGCATGCTCAACAAGCAGATGAAGCGGCTGCTGCGGGGCAAGTACACCGCCTACAGCCCGTCGGCGGTCGCAGACGCCCGGTCGGGGAAGCTGAAGCCACCGGAGCGTGGGGTAGTCTCTACGTGGTGCAAGGAAGCGTGGGAGTCCATCACCCCCGAGACGGTGAAGACTTGCTCCAAGATCTGCGGTCTCACGCTCGCGCTCGACGGCAGCGAAGACCACGCCTGGTGCGAGCACAACTTCGGGGAAGACTACCGCGATCTTCTCGAAGAGCAGCACGCCGTGTGGCTCGCTGAGCACCCCGACGTGACTCTCCCGCCNGTCCCAACAACGGCAGCATCGTCCAGCAGCGCCCGCGCATCCTGGTGCTTGACGACTTCAAGTGCCACAATGACGAGGGTTTCATCGCCGCCCTCAAGAGAGACGCTAACACCATCGTCATCTTCATCCCAGGCGGGTTGACGCCCTTGCTCCAACCGCTCGACCGCATGCTCAACAAGCAGATGAAGCGGCTGCTGCGNCTGAGCACCCCGACGTGACTCTCCCGCCGCTCAACCTGCCGAAGGTGCCAGGGGGGTTCGACTACAACCCCATCACGGCTGCTCAGAAGGAAGTCGAGGGGAAGCTGCTGCCCTACGTCGCTGATTAGAGCGACAGCGAGGTGGAGGTCTTGAGGGCGACAGCGACGTGGAAGTCGTGGAGGGGCAGGGGGGCGGGGGCACCGAAGGAGAAGTAGTCGAACTTTGAATCATAGTTCTTTGTGATTGCCAGTGAGATTGGATGTTTGTGCGATGGTAGGGGCGCGGGCACGAAGTAGANACGCCGTGTGGCTCGCTGAGCACCCCGACGTGACTCTCCCGCCGCTCAACCTGCCGAAGGTGCCAGGGGGGTTCGACTACAACCCCATCACGGCTGCTCAGAAGGAAGTCGAGGGGAAGCTGCTGCCCTACGTCGCTGATTAGAGCGACAGCGAGGTGGAGGTCTTGAGGGCGACAGCGACGTGGAAGTCGTGGAGGGGCAGGGGGGCGGGGGCACCGAAGGAGAAGTAGTCGAACTTTGAATCATAGTTCTTTGGGATTGCCAGTGAGATTGGATGTTTTTGCGATGGTAGGGGCGCGGGCACGAAGTAGAGTTCAACCCGCCTAGGAAGTACAGTAGTAGGACGTTGGTAGCTCGTAGTGGTAGTTTGGTGGGATGTTTCACTTCGTTTTTGGTTTCATCTGCGTTTAGAATTGTTGAGTGGATGCCGTTTGCCGGTTTGCCGATCTTGCTTCTTCAGAACGAAAAGAAGAGAACAAAGAGTACAAATACCACATTTTTGAACATCGTCATGGTGCCAAGGGCAGAAGTAACGGTGGAGCACGCGATTCAAGCTCCCACAGTATACGGAATTTCCAGCACAAGATGCTGGTGAAAGGGTATCACTTACCGTCAAACCTCACCGCACACATCGGCGTCTCCGCACAGTGTGCCTTCACCTCCACGTACCGGAGGCGCTCGAACCGCTCCTGGGAGACGACGATACATGTGCGATAATCTAGCAAATCATTCGGAACCCGCTTTTTTCCAGCACACCCTATGCCAAGACCCCGATATATGCCGAGACCCCGATATGTGCCAAGACCCCGATGATTACGGTATCGAAACGCCACTGCCTGAAGCATGCGCGCATGAGGAGTCCGTCCCCGCTTTCATGCTCAAGCTGAAACTATCAGCAAAAAAATACAGCCAGCTTGGGACTAGCAACGCCGACGATATTCGTCGGCTTGCTTTCAACAATTCAAAACGTACATCCGAAACTCGCCAGTACTTGGTCCTGAAATTATAACGCACCCCCCGTCCGATTCTGAATAAATACAAAGCGGGTAATGTGGGGTGTTTTGAACACACACCCCCATGCCAAGACTTCGATGGGTGCGATCCCGAACAAATCGCAGCAGGCACACGTCAACACTTCGTGTGCTTGCGCAGTATTGCGCCATCAGGACCAAAACATAACGAACACAGACACAACAGCACACCAGGACCGGTAAGTAGGTTGGCTCTTGAATGATTTGGTTGCAGCGGCGTATTGGCCAGTGGAGGAGAGGTTTGATTCGACGCCACGAGCGAAGGACCTAGTGGCCTACGGGGGATGTACGATTGTGCCTGCCAGTCCGTGGCCAGGTATTCGCATTGTTTCCCAGTATCCTACCATTTTTTTCTTAGTACCGTTGTTTGTTGTGGTCGTTTGGTCCAACGTGGTTTGTTCGCTTTATTGGTGGATTGAGTAGAAACCGGTTGCCTAGCCCTAACCCTAACGCTAACCCCAAGAAGGCGATCCTAGGAACACCGACATATCACTTCCACGAGCAACGTCACGATTCCAAAGTACAGCAGTGGAGCCCAACACCCCTGTGTGAACTGAACTATACCTGTGGGATAATCACTAGGCTAAATCCCTTGGAACCCGATTTATTTCCGCACCTCCTGTGCCAAGACCCCGGCCTGTGCGACGTAGCCGATTCGTGCCAAGACCTGCATTCTTGCCGTAGTTTGTGATACAGTTGATTGAATCAACTATGCACACACACATACACACCGTGTGTTTGAAGGGCTGTATTTCAGCGAAGAAGGTGAAATTGTGTCTTAAGGAAGTGCTTGAAGTTCAAACCCTGCGATTCATCGTTATATGTACAATTCAACAAGGCGACTACCATGGCAACGTCAAGTCCGATTGGTACCACAGCGGGCTGCATGAATTTATCGTTTTTCATGCCAGCCAGTGTCCAAGCTGTGTGTCTTTGTAGGCATTGCCGCCTGCCTGATCTGCGGACGAGGGGTGGGATAGTATTGTTTTACCTCTCTCGTCGTAGGATCTGAGGGAATGGACGGAGGAAGGCGTGTTTCGTGCATGTGTGCCACAAACATACGCGGGAAGACGACGATGGTCACGGGTTGGGGTGAAAAACGGTACCGCAACGTGAAAAACTTTCCAGGCATTTCCTTTCCATCCCACATGCAGCGTAGGCACACGTTTTGTCGATGGGTCTTCGTTCGAGAGAAGGCGAAAAACTATTTGCCTGCAACAAGCGACAGGCTCTGACTGCTTGGCAGTGGCCGTCACGGGTTGTCCGTCGAGCAAGCACTAGTCTACAAGTAGATGAGTCTTTCCAGAACGAGGCATGTTTTTCAGGTTGCTGCATCGAACTGCGTGCACCCTGCGTCGTTTTTCGGCTTGCAGCACTTGTAAAGTACCCTGAGGAGCTTGCTGGAGGGAAATAGCAAAAGGCACCGTATATGGCATACACTGCTGTATGCTGTGCTCAGAATCGAGTTACTATCTGTTTCTACCCGTGATTCGCCTCCTCAACATCCTTGCCCACCCCAAACACGGCATTCGAAATCTCGTCGTAGTCTCATGCAGGGCCTCAGTCGAGCTGAACTCGTAATAACACCCGATTATGGCAAGAATGTTTTTGCGTGCCATGTGAGATGTCCACCTTTGCTGAACTTATCTTTAGTCGTTGGCTGTTTCCGGTGCTATCTACAGCGTATCGCGTGGTGTACCGTTTTACGTCCTTCCTGGTTTCTAGGCAGTGCCCAGAAAGGTACAATGAACCCTATCTCATTGAACATCATCCCTTCCCCCACCCCCCCCTGACAGGCAATTTTGTGGGCACGTGTCAAGAAATCGGAGGAGGCTCTAGCTCAGCTTGGCCAGAGCTTGCAGGAAAAACATTTGGAAATCAGAACGTGAGCTTGTTGGGGTCCTATCCGTTGATATTTTTTGAAGAGGTGTAGATGCGTTTATTTCCCCGCTGTGCTAAAGTCGATCGATTTTCCTTGGCGTGTGTGCGGGTGACTCGTATCGTTTTTGTTCCTCCTGACTAAAGAAGGGTGACCCCTGTGCCCGTTTCACAATCATGAAGGAGAATTTCAAGAGTATTGGGGCTGGACGCGTGCCTGATGTGAATGTCCGCTTTACACACAACAGCAGTAGTTTGTGTATTGACAATAGTTCGTGGGTCTGCGAACATCGGTGTTGGATACATGTGCTGGATGATTTGGCGTCACGCAGACTGGTAAGATTGCCGTTTGGTAGGGGGCACCGCGATGATTCACGGGGCCCCTACTTGCTGTGGGAGCCGCTCTTTGAGCACTCCCCCTTTCGTCCGTGTGAAGGACGGTCGTCTACCTCTCGTGAAGTCAATATATCACCAAAACAGTCTCACCCGATGAATAAGTGTCGTAGGCCGCAAACACTGGAATTTTTTTGCCCCTCGAGGGAAGCCACATTGGGATGAGCCCTGCTGGAGACGAAGAGCGCACTGCTGCGAGTGGAGAACAGATCCGCCCGCCGGTGCAGGAGGGCAGCGATGCGGAGCTTGCAAGTTTGCAACTGCAGGTCTCACGATTGGCGGCCCTGGTGGAGGAGTCGATGAAGAAGAAGGAGCCTCGCAGCGTCGTGGCGGATGCAGCCAGTAGGGGCGGCTGGGTTGCTGCCCCCGAAGGCCAACAAGAGCCCCTGCAGCCGCACGGCGGAGGCGGGGGATTTCTCCAGCAGCAAGCGAGAGATGGTGGGCAAGGACCACGGCAGCTGCTGGAAGGCGGCTGGGCCAGCAAATCGGGAGCGAACCCTGTCGGACCAGCCGGAGTGGGCCCGGGCATGGGACCGGACTACGGGGAAGCGAGGGGGTTAAACCGTGAGATACCCGTGATTCGAGGAGATGGAGAAGTCCTCGACGGCTACAGCAGTAGCCACATGAAGAGACAATGCTCGAAGGGGAGAGTCGCGGCCATGGGTACGGCTCGTGGAGAAAGTCGCATATCCACGCGGCCAAGACTGTAGGACTGGACGGCCAATTGATCGGCAACAACGAGAGACATGCACCTGTCGGCAACCCAAACGTGCCAAGCTCGGAGTTGTACCGCCTCCAATACACCAGCGACGAGGTCCAGAGGGGCCTCCAACCGTTCCATTTTGTGACCACTGTCATCGTCAGAGAAGCCGACAAGGCGATCATGAACAAATGCGAGACCGCAAAAGACATCCTCGCGGAACTCGACAAAATCTACGATCCGGAATCGCAGGGCTCGAAACAAGCCCTCATGAGGCAAATGTTCAACTTCACGATCCCCACACACAGCAGCAGAAACCCCATCGAGCACCTGTACTCGCTCGAGTTGCTGTACTCACGCCTACGCGAAAAAGGGCTCAACGCTGAGGCACCCTTTGTACTCGCCCACTTCGTTGGTTCCCTTCCACCCGAGTACCAAGTAGCGAAGTTCCTGTTGGAGACAGCAACGGCGCTGGATAGGGCCGACATCGTCAGAATCGTGAGCACGGTGCACGCGAGCCTTCCGGAGGGGAGGAAGGCCTCGAAGGACCAGCGGAGGGCGGAGCACGCTCTTCTCGCGAGCGACGGTAGCGGTGGGGGAGGAGCGCCGGGCGCGGGAACGGCGGCAGCCGCAAGGGTGGTGGCGGCAGCGGCGGCAACCAGAAGGGGAGAGGGGGTGGCGCGAAGGCTGGTGGCGGCGGCGGAGGCGGCGACGACGATGCGGGTAGCATGCGCGGTCGCTGTTTCCGGTGCGGCAAGAAGGGCCAGCAGGTGGCCGATTGCACCGAGAGCAGGCCCGTGCGATCTGAGACATGCAAGGACTACGGGCACGACAAGAGCAAATGCCCGACCGAGGAGGCGGTGCTCGTGGTGGAAGTTCCGGGGTGGGGGGGGG